ATCACTTGAGGTCAGGAGTTCGAGACCAGCCTGGCCAACATGGTGAAACCCCATCTCTACTAAAAATACAAAAATTAGCCGGGTGTGGTGGCGAGCACCTGTAATCCCAGCTACTCTGGAGGTTAAGGCAGGAGAATTGCTTGAGCCCGGAAGGTCGAGGCTGCAGTGAGCCAAGAGTGTGCCACTTCACTCCAGCCTGGGCAACAGAGTGAGACTGTCTCAAAAAAAAAAAAAAAAAAAATTGCAAAAGCTGGACTTCCAACATGAGAATGCTGCAGCCCCACTTTCCATGGAAAGTGGACTCCAACCTGGTCAACATGGCGAAACCCTGTCTCTACTAAAAATACAAAAATTAACCAGGTGTGGTGGCACATGCCTAGACACTTCTAAGTAAACAAAAAGAGGATTTATTGCTAGCAGACACACATTACAAGAAATATTAAAGGAATCTTCAGGCTGAAAGAAGATGGTAATTCAAATACACATGAGACAAAAAACAAAAAACAAAAAACAAAAACCTCTGGTAAAGGAAATTCTGTAATTATAAAAAACAGTATAATTTTATAATTATATATTATATAATTATATTTACATACCGTCATCCCTTATTATACATGGGGGATTGGTTCCAGGACTGCCTGTATAACCAAACCAAATCCACACATACTCAAGTCCCATAGTTAGCACTGAAAAACCCATGAAAAGTTGGCCCTCTGTGTATGCAAGACCCTGTCTGTGCGAAAATAAAAATAAAAATAAATTAGAAGGGTACAGTGGCATATGCCTATACCCCTGGCTCCTTGGGAGGCTAAGGCAGGAGGATCACTTGAGCACAGGAGTTTAAGACTGCAGGAGCCAGACAGGCATGGTGGCTCACGCCTGTAATCCCAGCACTTTGCGAGGCCGAGGTAAGCAAATCACAAGGTCAGGAGATTGAGACCGTCCTGGCTAACATGGTGAAATCCCGTCTCTACTAAAAATACAAAAAATTAGCTGGGCGTGATGGCACACACCTGTGATCCCAGCTACTTGGGAGGCAGAGGCAGAGAATCGCTTGAACCCGGGAGGTGGAGGTTGCAGTGAGCCGAGGTCATGCCACTGCACTCCAGCTTGGGCAACAGAGTGACACTCCGTCTAAAAAAAAAAAAAAAAAAGACTGCAGGATCCATGATTGCACCACTGCACTACAGCCTGGACAACAAGAGTGAGACTCTGACTTAAAAAAAAAAATAAGAAAGAAAAAAGTAACGCAGGGCTCCAGGGATGGCCTGTATACATAGTTGAACAGGTGTGCAGCTGATAGAGATCTGGGCCTCAGATGGAGACCAATTCAGGAGTCACAAACAGAAAGCTGGTTGTTGAAACCATGAGAGCAAAGAGTTGCAAGCTGGAGTTACTGGGAGCTAAGTGTCAAATTCAGAGAGACAGATGCAGCAGAATTAGAACCGGAAAATGTGGACTCCCTTTGGAAGGATGATGGTTGCTAGTGACTTCAGTGGGTACAATTTCAATGGCATGGTAGGTAAGGAAGTCAGATGCAAAAAGAAGTGGAGACAGAATAGACTCTCTACCAAGAACGTGAACGAAAGAAAAAGAGAATAACTACGAAGGGGGCCAGCTCAACGGCATTTTTTGTTTGTTTTGCTTCGCTTTGCTTTTTAGGATGAGTTATTTGGGGCATATTCGAAGGCTGTGATAAGGACCTTGCAGAGGGCGCAGGCAGGGCTGCTGAAGCAAGAGCTGAAGAGTGGGAGGTCACAGTGAAGAGGCTGGCTGTCCCTGGGAGGAGGAGAGTCTGGAGCAATAAGGTGAGGGTGCATGGGCCTGATCATGCTGTGAGCAGAGGGACTAACTGCCCTTTTGTTCCGGGCTCTTTTCAAGAATGTTGGTATAGGCCGGGTGTGGTGGCTCATGCCTGTAATCCCAGCACTTTGGGAGGCCAAGATGGGCGGATCACGAGGTCAGGAGATTGAGACCATCCTGGTGAAACCCGTCTCTACTAAAAATACAAAAAATTAGCCGGGTGTGGTGGCGGGTGCCTATAGTCCCAGCTACTCAGGAGGCTGAGGCAGGAGAATGGCATGAACCCAGGAGGCGGAGCTTGCAGTGAGCCGAGATTGCGCCATTGCACCCTAGCCTGGGTGACAGACCGAGACTCTGTCAAAAAAAGAAAAAAGAATGTTGGTATAGCAAACTGCCTTGGAAGATAAAGATAGTGCCTCCCTCTGGAGCAGAGGGCCCATTTCCTCACTGTCCAACATAATAAAGATAATGTCTCCCTCTTGGACAAGGGCAGGTTTGCTTGCAGCCCATTATAAAAGATTGTGGTTCCCTTATCTCAGGGATTCTCAGCTGTCCTGCAATGGCATGGTAGGTAGGTTGTGTGTGCAACACCCACCTGGGCCTCTCTGTCTCACTCTCATGGGGCTTGAGGAGTAAAGAGAAGTGACACAAACATGATGTCTATGTTGCTTGCTGCGCCATGAGTAATAAAGTCCTTCGTCTCTGATCCAGTAGTCTTGTGTCTTCTACCAGCATCCACAGAACTATGGCAGGCTCATTGGTTAGCTTGTAAGTAGAGCAAAATCTGCACAGTTCTTAACAAAAGATGACTTTGAACTTAAGGGCATGGGAAGTTGAAGGTCACTCCTGATGGGCTCCTTTTCTCACAGGTATGGCTGGGAAAAGAGGAGGCTTGAGGAAAGAAGTAAGTTCTAGAATCATTGTTGAGGAAAGAAGCTGGAGCTGAGCAAGGATAAGGAAATGGCTGATGTTGAGAGCCAGCTGAGGCCAAACTTGTGTTCCCAATTCACTCTGGAATGAGCTACCCCCTGCCCCCAACCCCCATGGCACTCAGCCAGGCCAGGGGCAGGCAGCACAGGAGAGGCAGAGGCAAGAGTGAATCCAGGTCAGAGTTCTGCTGGGCAGAAAGCCAGGAACACAAGAGAATCTGGGTTACTGATGCGGGAATAGCTCAGATTATAACCCAGGGAGTCCTGCCTAGATAGGAAAGAAAGCTGCTGAGAGAAGATTGGCCCACTGGGAGAGAATGGAAGGCTGGAGACCCTGGAGGTCCTATGAGGCTGAATATGGGAGGAAGGAGAACTCCAGGTGGGTGGATAGGAGACTTTGGTGTGAGGGGAGTACTGCCATTTAAGACATTGGAGGTGGACCCGGATCATTAACACAGATGGGGGGGTTAACTCCCACACAGGAGGAGAGGACCCTCTCCCCAATTCTTAAGACTGGAGTCCTGAGGCCTGGTGCAGTGGCTAGTGCATGTAATTCCAGCAATTTGGGAGGCCTAGGTGGGCAGATCACCTGAGGTCAGGAGTTTGAGACCAGCCTGGCCAACATGGTGAAACCCCCCTCCCTACTAAAAATACAAAAAAATTAGCCAGGTGTGGTGGTGCACTCCTGCTGTAATCCCAGCTACTGGGGAGGCTGAGACAGGAGAATCACTTGAACCCGGGAGGTGGAGGTTGCAGTGAGCCGAGATGACACCACTGCACTCCAGCCTGGGTGACAGAGTGAGACTCTGTCTCAAAAAAAAAAAAAAAAAAAAAGACTGGAGTCCTGGCAGGGAGAGGCTGGGCTGTGGTGGGGGCCAAGTTTGTAAGTTTGTGGGTGGAAAGTTAAATAAATTACTAATGAATCATTCTCCTTTTCTCCATGAAGTAGAAGGTAAGGCACTTACTGAGAACAAGGACTAGGAGGGGGATTTATGGGCACAGAAAGAGGATCTGGGGAAATGTGAGAAGCCAATGATCAGGGGATAAGTAACATCTACAGGAATTTTGACAAGTAAATCCATAAAGATTGAAATGAAAGTCTTGACACCATCAATTCCAAGTAGTGCCCATCTGCAGGGTAGCAAGGTGAGCCTGGCTCTGCTGAGCAGTCTTGGGGTGTAGGAAAGAACTGGTGGCCCAATCTGAGTGACCTCCAGTGACCCTGACTTGGTAGGAGAACTGAGCCTGGATGGACTGAATGGCCATTCCTGACCACAGGCCCAGGCCCTGGGAGGTTTACCGGAAGCCTTGCAATGGGACAGGTACCTGTTGCTGCACCCAGACTTCCTCGGGTACACGAAGAACAGATTAGAGCAGAAAGCACCTGACACGGTAGCCTAGGTCCTTCTCATCCTTGCAGCCTCCTGACAGTTAGGGGTCTGGGGCATGTCACAGCTTTCTGAATGGTGCCCACTGGAGCACACCAATCTCACCCACCACTCACTACCTGGGAGTGCTCCACTTAGCACGGGGGCTGAGCTTCCCAGCCCTTTCTGATGCTGGAGCCTGCTAGACCAGGGGTCCCCAATCCCAAGCCTGGTCCGCGACCTGTTAGGAACCCTGCCTCGCAGCAGGAGGTGAGTGGCGGGCGAAGGAGTATTATCGCCTGAGCTCCGCCTCCTTCAGATCAGCCGAGGCATTAGTCTCAAAGGAGCGCGAACCCTTTTGTGAACTGCGCATGCCAGGAATCTAGGTTGCGGGCTCCTTATAAGAGAATCTTAACTCATGTCTGATGATCTGAGGTGGAACAGTTTCATCCCCAACCCCCCCATCCCCAACCCTGTCCGTGGAAAAACTATCTTCCAGGAAACCAGTCCCTGGTGCCAATAAGTTTGGGAACCTGCTGTGCTGAACCTTTCGGGTGGTCTCTCTGACTGGCCTCGTTCTGCGAAAGGAACTCAATGCGATTGAGGGGACTGGCCACCCTGCATGGTCACCAAATAAGCGCTGACAGCCTCAGTTTCCCCACGCAACACATCACGGCAGGCTCCCCACCTCATCCCCTTTTGCCCTCTCTACCGCCAGCCCAGAGACTGAGCTCTTGGGGTTTGCTCCTTCATCCTGCCCGCCCCCTCCCAGCTGTCCTGGTGTCCGCAGACTGACAGGTTTGAGGGTCCTTTGGAGTGCGCCGGGCAGATCTCCCGGCCGCTGCCCACCCAACACGGAGTCTGGAAGTCGAGTGCCTGGCCCGGAGAGAGCAGAGCGCAGCCAGCGCGGCAGGTGGTGGCGTCTACCCGCACCTAGCCAAACCCGGACCGCGCGAGGAAAGCGCCCTGACCAAGCCGAGACTGGCGGCCTCCCGGGGCTGGGCGCTGGAGAGAGCGCAGTTGCAGGAGTGGCCGCTGCCGAAGTCCCCGGGCAGGGGGCAGGGCCAGAGGATTGCACGCTCCGGGTGCCGGGGCGACACTCTAGCCCCAGGGGACTCGCCGCCCAGCCCCCGAGGGTGCAGGAGCGTCTGGCCGCTCACCTGGGGCCGAGAGGGAGCTGCCGGGCGGGGAGGTGCCGCAGGCACCAGGCGGGCAGGGCGGGGCAGGACAGGACGGCCGCCTCTGCAAGTGCCACCCGGCCCACCCGGGCCTCTCCCTTCTGCCCGGGATGTCGGCGGCCGGGGCGCTCGCGGGCCGGGGCTATATGGGGCTCCCGCGCGGGCCGTTCTTCTGGCCGCTGCTCCTGCTCACGGCTGCCTGCTCGGGGCTTCTCTTTGCTCTGTACTTCTCGGCGGTGCAGCGGTACCCGGGGCCCGTGGCCAGAGTCAGGTAGGGGCTACCGCGCGTAGAGCGGGAGGGCGTGGGGGCGACCAGGGCGCGGGGAGGGCGCCCAGCCCAGGGCTCCCCGGCGGCCCACAGTCCTCAGCCCAACCTCCGCGTCGACCCTTCTGGGGCAGCTCTCAGCAAGAACTCGGGCCGCGGCCCTTTGTCGCCAGAACCCCCTCCCAGCCTTAACCTCGTGCTGCCCGGACCCCGCGGCCTTTGCCTGGGTCCAAGGAAGACCTCGCCCCTGCACCCTTGTTGGTGAAGTCCTCCCCCGCATGATGAGTACACTTGCTATTGTAGAAATCTACTGGGTCCCCGAAGCAGATAAAAACTTCCTTTTTTGTCGGGAACTCTCCCTCGGTAACGTCAGATACTGCTTTTTGGGCAGGGACCCAAGTCTCCGGTTTCCAACTTCGTGGGGACCCTCGGCCGGGCCGTGGCCAGTCACCTTTCCCGCTCGCTGCAGTCTCTGCCCGCCTCGCGCCCGCTCCCTTCTCCCCGGCCTCTGCTCTCGGTATCTAGTTAAGCCAAGTGCGGGCGCAATCCGCGAAGAGGCGGGCGCGGGGGGGTGGGGGGGGGGGAAACAAGGGGCGACTTCTGGCTCCATCCGCCCTCTCCTCCCCGCGCTGCCTGCTGCGCTGCACTCCCTCCTCCTCCCTGGGCACTTTCCTCTCCTGGGTGCCCCACGAGGAGAACCTGGGAGCCGGCCTCTAGCAGGTGGCTAGTGACTGAAGCCACAGCAAAACGGTTCAGTTTCCAGTGACTGAAGAAGCCGCAAAACGATTTCGCTTAGCCTAAAAAAAGCGGACCAAGCCGTGGGAAGTCTGGGTTTGGGAGGAGGGAAGGGGCCGGCAGCCTCAAGGAGAGGCCTGCAGCCCCAGCCTTTCCCTTCCTGGCGCTTTTCCATCTGTGCACTCCCCACCAACCTTGCTGGGGGCCTAACGGGATGAAAACAAAGTAAATATCTGGTCTCCACGGATGCAGTCAAAGGACACACCAAAAGTCGCAGAAGAATGTGAAACAGCTTGCCAGTGATCAGGAGTCAGCGCTCTTAGAACAAAGGGTGTTCTAGCGGCGCCACCTGAAATTCCTACATCTCCTTGTAGTCAGAATTGTGTAATGAGGATACGAAACCTGACAAGGACTGAAGGCATTAAGAAAGAGGATCCTTGGCACCCCATGGCGACTTACACCTGTAGTCCCAGCACTCTGGGAGGCCAAGGTGGGAGGATTGCTTGAGGCCAGGAATTCGAGGCTGTGAGCTGTGATTGCATTACTGCCTTCCAGCCTGGGCGACAGAGCGAGACCCTGTCTCAAAAGAAAAGGAATCCTTGTCACTTGTATGTAAAGATGTTTAAAACACAAAGTATCTCAATGCAAAGAAATAATACATGTTTGATATGAGCCTGGGCAACATGGCGAAACCCCATCTCTACCAAAAATACAAAAATTATCTGGGCATGGTGGTGCATGCCTGTGCTTCCATCTATTTGGGGAACTGACCGAGAGGATCCCTTGAGCCCAGGAGGTCCAGGCTGCAGTGAGCTGTGATCGCACCACTGCACTCCAACCTGGGCAATACAGGGAGGTCCTGTCTCAAAAAAAAAAAATAATAAGTTCAAGGTGATGGAAACGCTAATTAGCTGGTTTGCTTATTACACATCGCATACACGTATTGAAATACCACACTGTGGCAGGGCGCGGTAGCTCACGCCTGTAATCTCAGCACTTTGGGAGGCTGAGGCGGGCGGATCACGAGGTCAGGAGATGGAGACCATCCTGGCTAACACGGTGAAATCCCGTCTCTACTAAAAAACACAGAAAATTAAAAGGCGTGGTGGTGGGCGCCTGTATTCCCAGCTACTCTTGAGGCTGGGGCAGGAGAATGGCGTGAACCCGGGAGGTGGAGCTTGCAGTGAGCCGAGATGGGGCCACTGCACTCCTGCCTGGGCGACAGAGCAAGACTCTGTCTCCAAAAAAAAAAAAAAATCACACTGTACTCTGTACATATGCACAAGTATGTGCCAATTAAAAATAATTTTATAAAAAGGAAGAGACGGCTGGGCGCGGTGGCTCAAGCCTGTAATCCCAGCACTTTGGGAGGCCGAGACGGGCGGATCACGAGGTCAGGAGATCGAGACCATCCTGGCTAACATGGTGAAACCCCGTCTCTACTAAAAAAATACAAAAAAAAAAACTAGCCGGGCGTGGTGGCGGCGCCTGTAGTCCCAGCTACTCGGGAGGCTGAGGCAGGAGAATGGCGTAAACCCAGGAGGCGGAGCTTGCAGTGAGCTGAGATCCGGCCACTGCACTCCAGCCTGGGCGACAGAGCCAGACTCCGTCTCAAAAAAAAATAAAAAATAAAAAATAAAAATAAAAAGGACACCAACATGGCACAAGTATACATATGTAGCAAACCTGCACGTTGTGCACATGTACCCTACAACTTGAAGTTTAATAATAATAAATAAATTTAAAAAAAAAAAAAATAAAAATAAAAATAAAAATAAAAAGGAAGAGACCTCATCTAGCAGCTCAGCCCCACTCTGCATGTGACATCCTGCCCCACCAACACCAAGGCCCTTGGGCTGCTCTGGACCACTGCCCATGGGGTAGCCCTGCTCCACAAGGAGCAGAAAAAAAGAAAGAAAAGGTCTTCACCAAACATGGTTCCTCGACCTTGGACTTCTCAGCCTCCGTAACTGTAAGAAATGAATTCCTTTTCTTATAAAAATAATCTTTTGGGGACAGTCTCAATCTGTCACCCAGGCTGGAGTTCAGTGGGTCTGTCTTGGCTCACTGTAACCTCCACCTCCTGAACTAAAATGATTCTCCCACCTCAGCCTCCTGAGTAATACATTTTTTTTTTAAACACAAAATTATTTCAAGGTATCTAATACAACTTTAAGTATGAAGTTTACTATACTTCTATTATAATGCAACAATGTTTTTTTGCTTTGTTTTAAAAAAAGATCTTTCCTCTTTTCAAAATGTAGTATGACTCAAGCACCTGGCCCTTTCCTGCTGTTTCACTATATTTGCACTGTAGCTTAAACCCCAGTGCGAGGCAGGTCAGGACTCAGCCTTGCTGTGAGAGGTGGATATTTAGTCTGGGAGAGAGTGGGAGGTGGATGGCATTCTGGGCAGAGCCAGCAGGCCACATGAGCTTCCCCAGCTAGGGACTGCAAATGGACATCCTGGCTACAGGGGACAGTCCAGGAAGATGGGCAGCTGGGACAGGTTCTACAGAGCCCAAGGAGGGGGCTCTTTAGTGCAGATTAGAATGGAGCCCAGTCTGGGAATTTCCTCATGGCAGAATCTGGATCAGTGGGTCCCACACATGGGGATTTCTATTAAATGTTGTTGTTGTTGTTTAATAGAAGAGACAGTAAGAATCAACATCGGGCTGCCAGTTACTATCCATTGTCAACGTTATGTTTTTAAAAAGAGAACATTCTAGGGCTAAGTATTAAGAATATGAAGGCCGGGTACGGTGGCTCAAGCCTGTAATCCTAGCACTTTGGGAGGCCGAGGCAGACAGATTGCTTGAGCCCAGGAGTTTGAGACCAGCCTGAGCAACATGGCAAAACCCTGTTTCTACTAAAAATACCAACAACAACAAAAAAATAGCCAGGCATGGTGACTTATGCCTGTGGCCTCAGCTACTTGGGCGGCTGAGATGGGAGGATTAGCCCAGGAGGTCGAGGCTGCAATGAGCCAAGATCTTGCTGCTGCACTCCAGTCTGAGTGACAAAGTGAGAGCCTGTCGGGGAAAGAAAAAAAAAAAAAAAAAAAAAAGGCCAGGTGCAGTAACTCACACCTGTAATCCCAATACTCTGGGAGGCTGAGGCGGGTGGATCACAAGGTGAAGAGATCAAGACCATCCTGGCCAACATGGTGAAACCCGTCTCTACTAAAAATACAAAACTTAGCTGGGCGTGGGGGCATGCACCTGTAGTCCCAGCTACTTGGGAGGCTGAGGCAGGAGAATCGCTTGAACCCAGGAGGTGGAGGTTGCAGTGAGCCGAGGTGTACCACTGTACTACTCCAGCCTGGTGACCGAGAGAGACTCCGTCAAAAAAAAAGAAAAAAAAAAAAGTATATGATCTAAGTTGTGAGTAGAATTAGCGTTCTGAAAAATGCAGCACATGGTCCGCATATCTCCTCAGTCTGGTAAAATCTCCCAGAAGGGCATGTGCAGGCTGGCCCCCTTCCTACGCCCTCCCACGTGCCCCAGGCACTTGGATTCCTGAGAGGGAGGGGCTGGAAGGATAGGTGGGAGCTTGTCTGGGAGAAGTTGCTGAGCACTAGGGATGCTCTGAAGTCGCACCAGGCCTCCCTGAGGATAGGGAGTTCAGGGCAGCAAAACTGAACTTGGACATTCCCCATCACCTCCCTTGCAGCTCTACCCGCCCCCGCCGGCCCCCACCGCTCCACGTCTCAACTCCACCCTCTGTCAGGCTCTCCAGCCTGGCTGCTCCTCTGTCAGGCTCTCCAGCCTGGCTGCACAGCAGAATTACCTGGTTAGGGTGGGAGGGTAGGGATTAGACTCACCAATGCCCGCCCCCCACTCCAGAACAATCAGATCAGAATCTCAGGAGTCAGGGCTGAGCAATGGGGTTTTTCAAACCTCCCTGGGGGGTTTCATAGGCAACTAGTCTGAGCACCACTGTCCTAGTTCCTTCTCAGAGGGGGTCATACTGTGCTCATGAGCAGGAACGATGGATTATGTGGGCGGACAGGTGGACAGTCCAAGGGGGCAAGAGAGGGATGGGGGAAAGAATCAACCCTGCTCTTTCTGTGCCATCCCTCCAGGGTTTTATAGGAAACCTGGAAACCAAAGGGAGGCCAGATCCCGGGTTCCCTTGTGGCTCAGCCGCCTCAGCACCTAGAAGCAGGCAACAAGAGACCTTTGTTTCTCTTGCAAGCTGCCAACTCAGTGTCACCTGCACCTGCTCCCTGTGGCTGCTGGGGTGAAGGGAGGGGTCTGAGAGAAGCCTGGCCACCCTTGGGAAAGGGTAAGGACCCCTGTTCCTTCCTTCATGTTTTCCTTCTGCCCTGATTCAGGGGCCACCTAGTGCCTGGGAATTGGGCATTGGGAGGGGACAGTAACACTATCCCCTTACTGCCCTCTAGAAGGGACACTAATAATAGAGGCTGACACAGCAAGATCCTTTCTCTTCCTCCTTTAGGAGGTAATAATAGCTAACATTTCAAGGACTTTTTTCTTTTTTTTTCTTTTTGAGATGGAGTTTCACTCTTTCACCCAGAGTGGAGTGCAGTGGTGCGATCTCTGCTCACCGCGACCCCCACCTTCCGGTTTCAAGTGATTCTCCTGCCTCAGCTTCCCGAGTAGCTGGGATTACAGGCATGTGCCAACACGCCTGGCTAATTTTTGCATTTTAAGTAGAGATGGGGTTTCACCATGTTGGCCAGGTTGGTCTCAAACTCCTGACCTCGTGATCCGCCCGCCTCAGCCTCCCAAAGAACTGGGATTACAGGAGTGAGCCACCGTGCCTGGCCACCTAGAGGACACTTTTTATATGTGCTAACATACACTCTGTTTGAATCCTCCTAACAATCCAAGGAGCTCAAAATGATTATCCCTATTGTATAGATGCAGAGACTGAGGTTCTGAGAAGTTCAGCAACTGCCCAAGATCGCACAGCAGCCAAGTGGTGGAGTCAGGTTGCAAACCCAGGAAGTGAGGTTTCAGAGCTGTCTTAGTCTGTTTTGTGCTGCTATCACAGAACACCTGAGTTGGATCATTTACAAAACACAGAGATTTACCTCTTATGGTTCTGGAGGCTGGGAAGTCCCAGGTCATGGGGTCTGTGTCTGGAGAGGGCCTTCTTGCTGCATCCTCATAGATGAAAGGCAGAAAGGCAAGAGAGCACGTATGCTCCAGAGAAGAGAGCTGGATTCATCCTTGTATCAGGAACCTACTCCCACAAAAACTAACCCACTCTTGCAATAACCAAATTAATCCATTCATGAAGGCAGAGCCCAAGTGACCTAATCACCCCTTAAAGTTCTCACCTCTCAACACTGTTGCATTGGGGATTAAGTTTCCAACACGTAAACTTTGAGGGACTCATTCAAACCATAGCAAGAGCCATAACCTTAACCAGGATTGTACTTCAGGGTTGGTAGGCATGACCCACACAAAGGGGAAGGGAGGCCCAGTCATCTCAGACCTAATGCCTACCTCAGGGGCCCTGTCAGGGAGATCCTTCAGATGGTCATAGTTCCAGGTAGCTGGCAATCTTTTCTATTTTCATGTATTTTAAACCACCATCTCACTGTTCTATAAACTGCACATTTCTGCCAGTTGCTGAGGGATGTCTTGATCTCTGAGTTTACACAGTGAAGCAAAACATAAGAAAGTGACAGTATCCTGTGTGCCTAAAGAGAAAAGACATGGCAAGAATAAGAGCACAGAGCTGGGCGCAGTGGCTCACGCCTGTAATCCCAGCACTTTGGGAGGCCACGGTGAGCAGATCACCTGAAGTAGGGAGTTGGAGACTAGTCTGACCAATATGGAGAAACCCCATGTCTACTAAAAATACAAAACTAGCTGGGCATGGTGGCGCATACCTGTAATCCCAGCTACTCAGGAGGCTGAGGCAGGAGAATCACTTGAACCCGGGAGGCGGAGGTTGCAGTGAGCCAAGATTGTGCCACTGCACTCCAGCCTGGGTGACAAGAGCGAAACTCCATCTCAAAAAAACAAAAAACAACAACAACAAAAAGAGTAAGAGTACAGAAGTGAAAAAATCAAAATAACAAACAGGCTCTTTTTTTTTTTTTTTTGAGAGAAGGTCTCACTGTCACCTAGGCTACAGTACAGTGGCACAATTATGTTCACCGCAGCCTTGACCCCTGGTCTCAGACAATCTTCTTGCCTCAACCTCCTGAGTAGCTGGGATTACAGATACCTGCCACCATGCTCAGCTAATTTTTTAAATTTTGTAGACATGAGGTCTCGCTATGTTGCCCAGGTTGGTCTCCAATCCCCGGTCCCAAGTGATCCTCCTGCCTCAGTCTCCCAAAGCACTGGGATTACAGGTGTGAGCCACCACGATGGGCACAGACAAAATTTGTCCGCCCCTAGAGCTAAGGGAGTCAGTCAGTCCAAAAGCTTCCAAGGGGTAGGTCAGAGCTGCTGACCCCTGCTTTTTTTCTGCTTTTTCCCCCAGGGATACCACATCATTTCAAACATTCTTGCAACCCAAGGCATCGAATTCTTGGACAGGAAAGGTACAGTGGTCGACCCTGTGGCAGTTTTGAGCACCCTCAGATTAGTGGGGAGGAGGGAAGAAGAGCAAACAAAAACATTCTCATGAGATTGCTGGGCAGGAGCTCTTCGGAACGCCCTAAGTTACAAGCTGAGCATCCGTCCCTTCAGGGCCGCTCAGACCTGACTAATAGGGTTTCTTGTGGCCCAACAGCAGGGAAAGATGAATAAATATATACTCATGGGGTGTAGCCAGCTGAACAGTTCTTTGGAGTCTTAAGATCGTACCTTAAATAGTCCTGTGAATTTTATATTCTACTCCTCAAAATATCTACTTCGTATAAAAGTCACATTTAAACTGCTCACCCTGGAGCAAACTCCAAGCTCTGGAAAGATGCCCTTGCTTGCCCAGAAGGTTTGAGAAGCTTCAGGGCCCTGCCTCATAACTGTAAGTAACAGACAGCGTTGATTTGGGGACTTTACCTGCGTTCTCTCACTGAAGCCTCATAGCAACCCTAGAATGTGGCCCTTACAAATGAGCAAAATGAGGCACCAAGAAGTTAAGTACCCCGCTTAGGTAGTAAGAGGTAGTCCTGGGGTTTGAGCCTCTTGTCTAGAACCTGGCTCAGAACCATTGTGCAATACGGCCTCCCCAACCCCATCCCACTCCACCCCACCCTGGCTCCATGTGCTGCCGTTAATCAGGATGATGACTGTGTTGTTCTGGATTAATACAGGCTTAAGAGGTGTTTTCCATGCCCAAGAGACTAAACTGGGACATGTTGACTGGGGCCTCAGGGAGAAAGATTTCACTGCATGCTAGAGCTTAGTGACAGCCAAGTTGTTCAGAAACACAGCAAGTAGCCCTGGGCAGGTGATGGGAGCCCTGTCTTAAGAACAGAGGCCGCTGGACGCAGTGGCTCACATCTGTAATCCCAGCACTTTGGGAGGCCGAGGCGGGCGGATTGCCTGAGTTCAGGAGTTCGAGACCAGCCTGGGCAACACAGTGAAACCCCGTCTCTGCTAAAATACAAAAAATTAGCCGGGCATGGCGGCGGGCACCTATAATCCTAGCTACTTGGGAGGCTGAGGCAGGAGAGTTGCTTGAACCCGCGACGTAGAGGTTGCAGTGAGCTGAGATCGTGCCACTACACTCCACCCTGGGCGACAGAGTGAGACTCCGACTCCAAAATAAATAAATAAATAAATAAATAAATAAATACAGAGGCCAATGGACACTTGACTGGCAGGTTGAAGAGAGGCCTCCAGCACCTTAGGAGTGCTTGGACCAGGTCATCTTCAAGCTTCCTGAAGTCTTTTCCACCTTGACCCTTGAGCTGTTTGATGCTAATTGACATACGTCCCCACCTGGTCTAAAACAAAGGGTTTGAGGTGGCTTTTGGACACATATAAGAAGGCAAAAACGGCCAGGTGCGGTGGCTCACGCCTGTAATCTCAGCACTTTGGGAGGCCAAGGTGGGTGGATCACCTGAGGTCAGGTGTTTGAGACCAGCTTGGTCAACAAGGTGAAACCCCATCTCTACTAAAAATATAAAAATTAGCCAGGCATGGTGGTGGACGCCTACAATCCTAGCTACTAGAGAGGCTGAAGCAGGAGAATTGCTTGAACCTGGGAGGTGGATGTTGCAGTGAGCCGAGATCACTCCACTGCACTCCAGTCTGGGCAACAGAGCAACACTCTTGTCTTTAAAAAAAAAAAAAAAAAAGGGCACAAACATAAAATACAATAAAATGAGGAAATGAGGGAAGGAGAAGAAGTAAAGAAATGAAAATAAGACAATGTGAAATAAGCGCAGGAAAGAATGTGTCACAAAGTGGGAGACATGTCATATATCTAGCTCTGAGCTTCCTGGTGGTCAGAGCTAAGAAGGAAAGTTTGACACCACATCCATGGGATAAAAGCAAGCCAGCTGTCAGTTCTGCTATAATGCTTACTTTGAAATTGTTAATTTGGTCCAGGCACAGTGGCTCACACCTGTAATCCCAGCACTTTGGGAGGCCGAGGTGGGTGGATCACCTGAGATCAGGAGTGTGAGACCAGTCTGGTCAACATAGTGAAACCTCATCTCTACTAAAAATACAAAAAATTAGCCAGGTGTGGTGGCAGGCACCTGTAATCCCAGCTACTTGGGAGGCTGAGGCAGGAGAATCGCTTGAACCCAGGAGATGGAAGTGGAAGGGAAAATAGATCACGCCATTGTATTCCAGCCTGCGCAAAAAGAGCGAAACTCTGTCCAAAAAAAAAAAAAAAAAAAAAGAAAACAAAAAGAAATCGTTAATTTGTTCCAACAAGATTGACATATTAGGGGCCGGGCCCGGTGGCTCACACCTGTAATCCCAGCACTTTGGGAGGCCGAGGGGGGCAGATCTCAAGGTCAGGAGATCGAGACCATCCTGGCTAACACAGTAAAACCTCGCCTCTACTAAAAATACAAAAAGTTAGCCAGGCATAGTGGCAGGCACCTGTAATCCCAGCTACTCAGGAGGCTGAGGCAGGAGAATGGCGTGAACCCAGGAGGTGAGCTTGCAGTGAGCCAAGATAGCGCCACGGCACTCCAGCCTGGGTGACAGAGTAAGACTCCGTCTCAAAAAAAAAAAAAAAAAAAAAAATGACATATTAGGAAACAATCTGAGCATCACATAAATTTTGCATTTTCTTTTTTTTTTCTTGAGATGGAGTTTCGTTCTTGTTGCCCAGGCTACTGCAGCCATCTTGGCTCACTGCAGCCTCCGCCTCCCAGGTTCAAGTGATTCTCGTGCCTCAGCCTCCCAAGTAGCTGGAATTACAGGCATGTGCCACCACGCCAGGCTAATTTTGTATTTTTAGTATAGATGGGGTTTCACCACGTTGCTCAGGCTGGTCTCGAATCCCTGAACATAGGTGAATCCACCCGCCTCTGCTTCCCAAAGTGCTGGGATTCTAGGCATGAGCCACTGTGCCCAGCCTGGATTTTCTTCTGAGTGATTTTGTCAGTGAAAACTCTAGATTAACATAGAAACCACACCCAACTCAGCAGAGCCACGCAGGAATACACAAAAAGTATTTTTTTGTGTATGCGCACCTGAGATCTCCATCAGCTTCAATGAGTGTGTTATGAGTTCACCTGCCCTAGTGAGCCTGGTGGCACAATTCCCTCCGATTTCAGACAACCTTCTTTCCACCATTTCACAATATCACACAAACTGCCCCCTTCCGACACCCACTTCCACTCCCACTTCCACATCAATCTCAAGTATTCTTTAACCATGGGACAGCCGTAAAACTGTGCTTCTGTCTTTCTTCGATTTGTATCTTTGGCTTTATGCATTCCTGACAGCTTTTCAGTGTTATGTCACTCATCCCATTTTTTCATAAGTCTATGGTTTTTCGTTTTGCCGTTGTTGTTGTTTTGTTTTGTTTTTGAGATGCGGTCTCACTCTGTTGTCCAGGTTGGAGTGCAGTCTCAATAGCTCACTGCAGCCTCAATCTCCCAGGCTCAAGCAATCCTTCCACCTCAGCTTCCCAAGTAGCTGGGACCACAGGCCTGGGCCACCATGCCTGGCTAATTAAAAAAATTTTTTTTGCAGACATGGGGTCTTGTTATGTTATGGAAACTCCTGGCCTCAAGTTATCCTCCCGCCTTGACCTCCCAAAGTGCTGGCATTACAGGGGTGAGCCCCCATGCCCGGCTGCCCCATGGTCATGGTTGCATAGCTTTGCACAGCATGGTGATATTCAGCCACTCACAAGTTGCATTATAGCAGAAATTACTGTATAGCTATTTCCTGCTTTGCCCTTTGATCAAACCAATGGCTTAACAAAGAGCCCCATTCAAGAGTAATAGAAGGCCTGCCCAGGCCATGACTGTGTGTGATTCTGACCTTGTGAGGTCATGGGCAGACAAGGCTGGGGCCTGTTTCCTGACCTCACCCTCCCTCAAGGCCCACAAGTACAGAGGTGCCGTGTTCCTTCCCCGTAGCTGCTGGAACAAATGATCACAGCCTGGGGGGCTTCGATCCACAGAAATTGAATCGTCACAGTTCTGGAGCCCAGAAGCCCAGAATCAAGGTGCTGGCAGGGCCACGCTGCCTCTGAAGGCTGGAAGAAAAAGCCTCTCCTGCCTTTCCCCAGCTCTGGCAGCTCCACGTCCTCTTTGGTTTGTGGAGCATCGCACAGATCTCTGCTTCATCATCACTTGGCCTCCTTATAAGGATGCTAGTTAGGGCCGACCTCACCCTATATGACCTTCTCCTAACTAACTCCATCTCCAAAGACCCTAGATCCAACTAAGGGCACATGCCAAGGCTCTGGGTAATGAATTTTGGGGGGACACTTCTACGCCCTAAAGGCACCACTGGAAAGAAAGACCATGGATCTTCCTGGCAGCCTGTTCACACGCAAATCATACAGCGAGTACCAGCAGGGTTAGGGTTTGCATCCAGGTGATGGCCTCAGCCCAGCCCAGGCTGTAACTCCTCCACCAAAGGGCAGGCAGGTCAGACCCACGCATCAGAAAATGCCCCAGAGTTTGCTCAAGTGTGAGGTGAAGGCGTATGAGGCCAGAGCCATCAGGCCAAGGGGACATGGCCTCTGGGAGAGGAAGAGCTAGGGAGGCTAAATCCAGAAAGTTCCCAGACCCCCTAGCAGCCAGCTCAGTTCAAAAATGCAAGGATGGCCCCGATCTGGAGGGGACAGGGCAGGCCTTCCCTCACAACTCCCAACTACCCTGCAGGGTCTGCGGGGAGTCCCACCCACTCCAGCCCCCACCTAACAGGGCTCAGCCCTCACCTTCTCACCCACAGGGCCAGGCCTGCCGACACCTGCTTCACCTGGCCATTCAGCGGCACCCCCACTTCCGTGGCCTGTTCAATTTCTCTGTTCCAGTGCTGCTGTGGGGGGAACTCTTCACCCCAGAGCTCTGGGACCGCCTGAGCCAATACAAAGCCCCGTATGGCTGGCGGGGGCTCTCTTACCAAGGTAATCCACGCCCACTGTCTCTCACCTGCCTTCTCTCAGCTTCCTGCTCTTGGCCCTGAGGTAGGCCAGGCCTCCCTGCCCTCATAGCACTGGTGATACAGGGCCTCTCTGTCCCCCTCTCTCCTCCCAGAAGCCCCAGCTATGCAACTCCTGCCTCACCTCCCTCCTCCGTCCAAGCACCCAGGGGTCAGTGAGAGGCCTGGGGCTGCCCCCGCCAGCAGCCCTCACCGTCCTGGGACCTTCCTGGCAAGAAAGGCTGCAGCATCCAATGGTGGCCAAGGACAGAGGCTGTGGGGCCTCAAACCACCTCACTCACAGTTGCTGCTGCAGGAACCCCCACACTGCAGGCCCAGAGCCCTCTCTACATTATACTTGCACCCAAACCCCCACAGGCCTCCAATTCTTTTCTTTTGCAATATACAGTCTTTTTTATCTTTGAGACGAGTCTCGCTCTGTCACTCAGGTTGGAGTGCAATGGCACAATCTCGGCTCACTGCAACCTCCGCCTCCCGGGTTCAAGTGATTCTTGTTGTCTCAGCCTCCCAAGTAGCTGGGATTACAGGCATGCCCACCACATCTGGCTAATTTTTGTATTTTTAGTAGAGCCAGGGTTTCACCATGTTGCCCAGGCTGGTCTCAAACTCTTGGCCTCAAGTGATCTGCCCACCTCACACTCCCAAAGTTCTGGGATTACAGGCGTGAGCCACCGTGCCCAGCCCAGTCTTTTTTAAGCTCTGAGTCCACTTCTCTAGGAATAGTCTTAAGAGGATAAGTTATTCAGGTTCTTCAGACAAGTGAAAGCCGCCAAGCACCCTCTTCCACTGTCAGCTTTTCTGTTCTCCCCCCCAGACATCTCCTTTCCCTCCCACGCTCTGTGCTTCTTGGGAGGGGCTGGGGTCAGGCCCCAGGGGACATAGGGCACCAGAACCAGCCTAGGGACGGCCCCAGGTGCCCCGATGCCAGCCCTTCTCATGGCTGCTCCCCATCTGCACCCACAGCCATCACCTCCACCCTGAGCCTTCTGAACAGCTCAGAGAACGCCAAGCTGTTCGCCCCGCCCAGGGACTCCCCTCCAAAGTGTATCCGGTGTGCCGTGGTGGGCAACGGAGGCATTCTGAATGGGTCCCGCCAGGGTCCCAACATCGATGCCCATGACTATGTGTTCAGGTATGAGGGGCATGGGTTGGGGAGGGGCGGGAGAGAGAGTTGCCTGGAGGGTGGGGGGGTCTCCCCCAGGGGCAGTGGGCTATGGCAGCAGTGGCCTGGGCAGCTCAGCAGTTGTGACAGGCACAGGGGCATGGACAAGGCAAACACAAACAGTAGGCCCTGAGGACAGAGCATGGGTGCCCGTGCAGGGGACCCAGGAGGAAGCAGCCGCCAGGGCCACCTCTACCTACTCACAGGGCGTCACCCCTTGAGGTCTGGAAGAGTGGGATTCTGGCTGACAACTGGGCACTGGTACTGCCGTGGGCAGAAGGAGTGGTCGTACAGAGGTAGGGGGACAGGCCAGGCAGAACCGTGGAGATGGAAGCAGAACAGACAGCCTGGTGTAACCACAGACACTGACAGGCTTCTGTGCTGACCAGACTCAATGGAGCTGTGATCAAAGGCTTCGAGCGCGATGTGGGCACCAAGACTTCCTTCTATGGTTTCACTGTGAACACGATGAAGAACTCCCTTGTCTCCTACTGGAACCTGGGCTTCACCTCCGTGCCACAAGGACAGGTGAGGCCTCTGGCAGGCATGCCATTATAGTTAACAATGGCACCACTGTTCCTGGAGTCCCCTCAGTGGGGGCCACAGGGCTCACACACCCTGGTCCAGTGGGTGCAGAGGGTGTGCTAGGACTCTGGATACACAAGATGGCCACTGAAGATGAGGGGGGTCTGGTCCCGGACTCCCCGCGGATTCAGGCGGCACAGGACTCCTCTGCAGCATGGGACATGAATGGTTAGCATGTACCGAATGCTTACGACTTGCCAGGCACTTTACAGAGACCGTGCAACCCATGGTTTCACTGCTGAGGGGATAAAAGCCTGGCACCTTTCATTCAGTGAGTCAGCGGTAGGGTCAGGATTTGAACCCAGAGTACCCCCCACCTTGAGAGTTGGCATTCTTTGGGGAGCTCAGCCTGTCCTAGCGATTCCCAGGGGAAGGGGATTTATGGAGTTCCTCCTCTGTTCCTAGCATGTTACAGGGCACACACACGGTCACCACAGCAGCCCTGAGTGGGACCCTTGTCCCCAATTCCAGATGACAAAGCAGAGATGCTGAGAGGTTCAGGAACGTGTCCAAGGTCACCCAGCTGGAACCATCTAGATCTAGGCCCCTCTGACCCCAGCCCTGGCGTTGTTTTCATTTCCCCACATTGGCCCCTGGAAGAATGTGGTGTGGCCTCTCAAAATCTCACAATAGCCCTGTATAGGAAACTGAGGGTCAGAGACACTGAGGGACATGCACCAGGTGGCAGCCAGTGCGTGGGAGCCAGCATCTGGCCCTACCTGCTGGCCTCCGGGTTCCTCCACCCACACCCAGGGGCCATAACTCAAAGCTTCCCTCCTCAGGTGCTGTGGGTGCCACATGCAGGGTTGGGGGATCCCAGGAAAAGGGAATCTGCGGTGCTGGAGGAAGCTGAACTGGGTTTCTAGAAGCTTCTTCCCCTGACCAGGGGCTTAAGGAGTGTCCTACCATAGTGTCTATGCCACACTGAGTCCTCACACTAGAACCTCTCTTCTGTGAAGTGGAACAAAATGGAGCAGCTTTAGACTTTTTGTTTTTGTTTTTGCTTTGAGATGGAGTCTCCCTCTGTCACCCAGGCTGGAGTGCAATGGTGTGATCTCAGCTCGCTGCAACCTCTGGCTCCTGGGTTCAAGTGATTCTCCTGCCTCAGCCTCTCAACAAGCTGGGATTAAAGGCACGCACCACCACGCCTGGCTAATTTTTATATTTTTAGTGGAGACAGGGTTTCACCATATTGGCCAGGCTGGTCTTGAACTCCTGACCTCACATGATCTGTCCGCCTCGGCCTCCCCAAATTGTTGGGATCATAGGCGTGAGCCACTGCGCCCGGCCTCAGTTTCGGTGTAGCCACAGTACACGTATGAGTTATCTATTACCGTGTAACAGATGACCTCAAAACTTGGTGACTTTAAACAACAAACATTATCTTGTGGTTTCAATGGGTCAGGAATTTGGGGGCAGCTTAGTGGAAGGTTTTGGCTCAGATGACGGAGATGATGGGCTGCATCATCTGAGACCCAAAGGCTTGACTGGGGCTGACATCAAGGCGGCGTCTCACAGGCCCTTGCCACTTGGGCCCCCCTGTAGGCTGAGTGTCCTCACGACATGGCAGCTAACTTCATCCAGAGTGAGTGATCTGAGAACGTAAAGGAAGCCACAGCACCTTTTATGACCTAGTCTCTAAGCCACGCACCATCACTTTCCTTTTTATGAGAAAAATCCTGTGCATGAGTCGCTAAGTCTAGCCCATACTCCAGGGGAAGGCAATTGGGTGCCACCTCCTGAAGGAGCATTAGAGGATTTGCAGGCCTACATTGAAACCAGTACCGTACCTCTGGGAGGGAATGAAATGTATTTAAGGGAAATTCTCCGGTCGGCTCAACGGGCAAGGTTGGGTGGAGGGCTGTCCACACGGAGGAGCTAAGCATGGCCTGGTTCCCCTCTGGGCTCACTGTCTCTATTCTGACAGGACCTGCAGTATATCTTCATCCCCTCAGACATCCGCGACTATGTGATGCTGAGATCGGCCATTCTGGGTGTGCCTGTCCCTGAGGGCCCAGATAAAGGGGACAGGTGAGCAGCCAGGCCATGGTGGTGTGGGGCGTGGTGGAGCGGCAGGGGCGCTATGGTTGTCTCCTTTTTGCTCCCAGGGCCCATCATGGGGTAAGAGGAGGTGGGTGAAGGGCAGCAAGAAAAGCCCAAAGAATTCAATCATCCCCAATTATTCATGTAACTCAGCACTGGAAAATTCTACTTTCTGTCCACCCCTGGAAAGCACAGGTGACCCTCCGGGTTCCCAGTAGCCCTCTGGGGTGGTGGGCTCAGGGCGGGAGAGGCCACTTTTCTGAATGGGACGAGCAGGTCTGGCTCCTCGGCTTCAGGCTGTGCTCTCCCTGCCCAGCCCGGCTGCCCCCGGCCACTCCAGGTCACAAACTGGGCAGGGTCTGCTGTCCCATTGAGCACACTGTGCTGGAAGCCAGTCGGGGCCAGTTTGTGCCACTCCTCCTGGTGGGCATCCGTCCCAGGGTCATGCCTGTGACATGGGAGAGCAGACTCAAGGCCCAGCATCCTGAGAGGCGGAAACAATGGGCCCTTTGTCTTCTTTCCCACCTTCCTGCACAGCAGGCCTGTGTCCAGCTCTCTTGAGCCACCACCTGACCCTCATCTGAACCTCCTCCCGGCGGTTCTGAGATAATTTCTTGTCCCTGAGATCAGGTCCCTAAAAATCAACACCACTGCTGTGGCCCAGACAACCAGCCCTCCTATCTCTGGGGTCTCCCTGAGGACATCTCGCCCACCCCCACACAGCGGCTTTATAGGCGGTCCTTACGGGTTAAGGGCTTTAAAGCCAAGCCCACCCCGCCCCCCGCCCTGATGATTACCCAACAATTGCTTCCACTGCTGGTCTGAGCTGGGCTTTGTGACACGCTGGGCTTGGGCTCTTGGGGCTGCCTCAGAGACATCGGCTGGACCTAAGCCTCCCCAACACCAATGAGCTCCCCTTCCCACACCCCTAATCCGTCCCCTACCCAGTCTCCCTCCCAGTCCCATTCCAATAGCATTGTCACCCCTCCAGGCCAGCAGCCTCACGAGAGCTCAGCCCCTTCCCCCACTCGGGGCTCTTCCTCCCGGCCCCCCTCCCACCCTCCCACCCCAAGTGCCTCACAGCCGTCTTCCCGGATTTCCTCCCTGAACCCCAGTCCTCAGGTCCAACACGTGCCCCGCGGGGCCGCCCAATCCCCCACCCCACCCACCTCCAAATCTCCCTCCCAGTCTGGTTTCAAATCCCTCTCTCGAAACCCTTCCCTAACCCCCACTGTGCCCCCCAAGTCCTTCTACAGCCCTGCCCCCTCATCTTCCTATATCGGGCCAATTCAGAACATCCCATCCTATATCACCCCCTATGTGCCCCACTTTCTGAAGGAGCCCCCCTTTTTCCAGCCCCCCACAGCACCACTTCCCCAAAACCCATGCTTTGCCTGTCCTTCTCCCTGCCCTGCCCGGAAGCCACCACCCCCTCCTGACTCGCTCTACTTACCTCTCCTTCCCCCGCCCCCCCACCACCCCCAGTTTCACTGCCCCTTCCCAACTCCCCCCGGTCTGTTCATGCCCCCCTCCTCTCTCTCCTACACCCCACCCGTGGAGGTCCTGGTGAGCGGGAAGCCACATGTGGTCCCCACCGTGCTGCCTGCCACCTTCTACACCCCCTTCTCCCGCTACTACTCCCAGCCCCGCTCCTACCGCTCAGGGTACCGCGGCTACTCTGGCACCCTGACCCTCCCCTCCATCTCCCCCTTGCAATACGACGGCTCTGGGCACTCTGTCCACTTCTATCATGGGTCCTAGGCCGCACACTTATTTCGGACCAGAAGCTTCTGCCAGTAAATTCAAGCTGCTACATCCGGACTTCATCAGCTACCTGACAGAAAGGTACGGAGTGGGGTGCCTGAAGAACAGCGTCTCCTTCCTTCCCCCTTTTACATACCCACCCCACATCCAGGCAGAGCCCTCCCACGAGCCCCACGCACTGACCAATAACCAGAGCTCCACTGTCCCGAGTGCTGTGTGCAAAGCACTGTCACTTCATTTACTGTTTTATTTAGCACCTTGATAGAGGGAGTGTGATATGTCAGTCCCCAGGAAATGGACAGGAAACTCAGGATAACTCAAGGTGTATTTACTACGGCCTGCTCACAAAGGCAGACTGGGAGTTGGGGGCCATAACGTGCACAGCAGCAGTGGGGCTGTCAGCAGCAGGCCATCAGAATCTTCAGACCCAAACACACCGACACAAGGTGCAGGGAGGGACCCAGGCAACAGCCTCCACCCCTCCCCTCCCTTCCTCCTGCCAGGAGTTCTCAATATGGATGTGCATATGGCCCTTGTCCAGGGTTGTCGAAAGGGTGGTGAGGGCAAGTGCCATCAGTGGGTAGAGGCCAGGGATGCTGCTGAACGTCCCCGTTTAGCAACAAAGAAGCACCTGGCCCCAAGTGTCAACAGCACTGAGACCGAGAAACCCTGCTGTGGACCAGAGGCTCGAATCCCAGGGCAGGGAGCTGTTGGAGAGGGGTGAGTGGATCTGGGGAGGTAAATGAAGCCCCTCCAACTAGTCCCATGCTACAGAGGAAGACAGGCTCAGAGAAGTCAGGTGATCGGCCTAGCACAGCTTGATGTCAACTCAGGCCTGAGGGCAGAGCCGGTGGTCACACCCCGGCCTCACTCTTGGACTATGTGGGTCCAGTCACAGGGTCTGAGCTCCCTGTCCCTCACATGTGATTTCTACTTAATCAAGATGTGGGGTAGAGAGACACCGCAGTTTCAGGCTAAATAAATAAACAGGCCACCTATGCCCTTGGCAGTGTGGTTACTTAGTAGCTTGGGGTGAAAACAGGCTGTTGCCGAAAGGGGGAAGGATTTCACCTGTGGTTCCTCTTTCTCACCCCCCACCTTACCTAAGGTCTCAAAGATCTTTGCATTTAGTCCGCTTGGACCAAATAAAGAACTGATAGGAGTAGAAGGCCCTGAGTTTTTGAAGTTTTCCCACCTATCTGAATGTGTAGTTGTGAAGTGTGATGATACAACCATCAAGTGAGTTGAAACGTCTTTTTGCTTCCAGGTTCTTGAAATCAAAGTTGATTAACACCAATTTTGGAGACTTATATATGCCTAGTACCGGGGCTCTCATGCTGCTGACAGCTTTGCATACTTGTGACCAGGTAAGAGGCCTTCTCTTCCAGAAGCCCATGCCAGCAGAACACAGAACAGAACCCTACAGGATTCCCTGATATCCCTTACCCTCGGACCTGGGACTCTTGGCCTCTGTTCACGGAATCCCCAGCTCCAAGAGTGCTGCCGGTGCTGCCCACTTCCTTGCCCACCACCCAGGGCCCTTTGAAAGGCAGGCAGGTCCTGGACCAGCCTTGACTTGGCTCCTGACATCTTCCCCAGGCTTCCTTCTTTCGCTCTTCTCCAAGGCAGCCACTCAATATGGTATTTAAGGCTCAAATCATTAAACTGCCCTTGTGAAAGCCAATCTCCTCAACACACTGGGCTGAATAAGGACATTCTTTTATGGGGACATCCCAGAGCGGGGGTGGGGCAGCAGGTTTAGCCTCCCACACACAAACACACAAATACTTGGAAAGCACCTAAGAGTCACTCCCGATGGGATGCGGCCCATGTGAACCTCGTGGAGGCAGGGGCCAAGCAGCAGCTTTCAGGGAGAGGCCATGGACCACGTTGAGCTGCTACGGAGAGCTGGAGGCCAAACGCCACTCCACGACTCAGGCCTGTATCTTTTTCCTTTTTTCTTTTTTGAGACAGGGTCTCAACTCTGTCGCTGAGGCTTAAGTGCAGTGGTGTGATGATCCCCAAGTAGCTGGGATCACAGGCAGGTACCGCCACGTCCAGCCCATTTTTTTTTTTTTAACTTTTTGTAGAGATGGGGTCTCACCATGTTCCCCAGGCTGGTCTCAAACTTCCAAGCTCAAGTGATCCTCCCACCTCAGCTTCCCAGCGTTGGGATTACAGGCGTGAGCCACCATACCGGGCCTTTTCCTATTTTAATGCAGGAGTGTCTTGACTGCAGTCCCCAATTAGGATGGGGAGAGAGTAGTAATGGGCTTTTGCATCCACCCTCGAGTTCCAAACCCAGCTCTGGCAATCACCAGCTATGCAACGTGGGGACACAGTGAGTCACCCCTGAATCCATCTCGCCACTTGCTAAGTGGGAATAAGCCCTAGACCATTATCCTCACCTCAGCAGGGGGACACCTTTCTAAACTTATGTCACTTCACACTAGATGCTCAACGAATACTAATCCAATGACTATCCTTGCCCAGGTCAGTGCCTATGGATTCATCACAAGCAACTACTGGAAATTTTCCGACCACTATTTCGAACGAAAAATGAAGCCATTGATATTCTATGCAAACCACGATCTGTCCCTGGAAGCTGCCCTGTGGAGAGACCTGCACAAGGCTGGCATCCTTCGGCTGTACCAGCGCTGACCCCAAGGCACTGAACCCTTTGCTTCTTCAAGACTTGCGGCCCTTATCCTCTCAAGTGGCCAAAAGCTTTTTTCTTAACTTTTCAATCTTCACCTTCCTTTCTTTCCAACAGAGGGCACTGGGGTGAATTCACGACTATCATCGAGGTCTGTTCAATGCAGGACACCCCAGCTTGTCCTTGGCTCATCCAAGAAAACTCTATGCATCTCAAACAACACATCTCAATCTTGGCCAAGGGAAAATGGACTGCTTTGCTGGATTTGCACTGAGCAACTTTAGGAAATGTCGGTGGAGTGTTCACCAAGATCAAACAGCAGTACAGGTGAAAGGCAAACACACAAGCTCCAGCCCAAATCCTCCTGGTGGCGCATTCTACCCCAGAGGCTAAAGTGATTCAAGGACTCCAGGACACCTCTTAAGAGCCTTTCTAAGAACATGATAGGCTTACTTCTGCTCCATAATAAAGTGGGAGAAAAAAGAATGTAACTTAAGACTAGATAACTGTGTACATGATGGACCATTTTCTTTTTTTTGGCTGGGTAGAGAAATCATACAAAATGCAGGGTGTTCAGCATGGAGATCACTCTCAGAACACTGGGAGGGTCTGGCACTCGATGGGGGTTAATTGCTTGGCAGCCTGCCTGCCACTGAGGGAAGTACCATTAGAGACATATCCCCACCAGGTAATACACCCTCATCCTCGTATCTTGGCTTCGGTAAATTTGAACTTAGCTGACAGTAGTTTCCTGATTTTATTGTGAGTGGCTTTAAAGAAAGTCTCATCCAAGTTATCACACAGCACTTAACCCAGCCCTGGGATTTATTGTCTTTATGACTAAATGGCTCTGCACAGTCTGAGACGCTTCAGTGTGCAAGGCAGCAGCGGAGGGGAGGTCTTCACAGGGACAGCTGGCAAGAGACTTCCCAAGGCACATCAATCATGTTGGTCAATTTAGGGCACGGTCTGGTTCTGTAGCTTTGAAAGGCTGATTCCATTAGCACACTTTACAAGAGGGATGGGGATTAACTCAGTCACCAGAAACGAAATACCACTTCAGAAATTCAGAGACCTCTGAGGAACAGAACAGACGTTTGGGCTTTAATTGCTAAAGCAGCTACCTACTTGGGGAAACCATGGCATTCTGCTGCCTGGACAGCAGGAATTAAGATTTCAGAGTTGCTGGCACCAGAACAGAGCCTCTCAGCTCGCTTCACCTTGGCAACCTTAAACAGTCCCTCTTTGGTCTCCATGATAGCAGTACGTTCCTTTGGATAGAATACTTAGTTTGGAAAGAATGTAGTCAAATGTGGGATATGTAAGCACCCCTCAACAGTCACAATCTATCCTAGTATCTTACATAGTGATTTTTTTTTTTTAATTTATTGGACTTATGGTTCCATGTGGCTGGGAAGGCCTCACGATCACAGCGGAAGGTGAAAGCCACGTCTCACATGGCAGCAGGTAAGGGGAAAAAAAGGTAGTGATCTTTTAGTAAAGAAACCTGAGACTGGTAGTGGGCTTGGAGCCAGAGGATCGCTTGAGTCCAGGAGTTCGAGACCAGCCAGGGTAACAAATTGAGACCCCCAACTTTAAAATTAAAAAACAAAAGAAAAAATAGCTGGGTGTGGTGGCTCACACCTATAATCCTAGCACTTGGGGAGGCCAAGGCGGGTGGATTGCCTGAGCTCAGAAGTTCGAGACCAACCTGGGCAACATGGTTGAAACCCTGTCTCTACTAAAACATAAAAAATTAGCCAGGTGTGGTGGCATGCACCTGTAGTCTCAGTTACTCCAGAGGCTGAGGCACAAGAATTGCTTGAACCTGGGAGGTAGAGGTTGCAAAGATCATGCCACTGCACTCCCAGCCTGGGTGACAGAGCAAGACTGTCTCAAAAACAAAAAACAAACAAACAAAAAAAATTTGTCTCAAAAAAATGAAAAAAATTTAAATTAAAAAAAAAAAAAAAAGGTTGGGCATGGTGGCTCATGCGTGTAATCTCAGCACTTTGGGAGGCTGAGGCAGGAAGATCACGAGGTCAGGAGATAGAGACCATCCTGGCCAACATGGTGAAATCCCGTCTCTATAAGAAGGTATGCACCTGTAGTCTCAGCACTCAGGAGGCTGAGCCAAAAGAATTGCTTGAACTTGACAGGTGGAGGCTGCAGTGAGCTGAGATTACACCACTACACTCCAGCCTGGCGACAGAGTGGAACTCCATTTCAAAAAATAAATAAAATAAACTAAAATTAAAAAGAGCAAAAATATAAAATGTAAAAAAAAAAAAAAAAAAAAAAAAAAGGAAAAAGGAACCTGACTGCCTTGGTGAGTCAACACTGGATCTCTTCTGACCATTATTTGAAACAAAAAAGGAAACCACTGATATTCTATGCAAAGACCTGTTCCTGGAAGCCACTCTGTGGAGACACCAGGAGAACTTTTCTCAGTCCTTCATTGATTTGAAGTAAAAGTGCTAAAGCAATGTTTGTGGGTGGCAACCCATTAGCAGATCACAAAATCAATGTAGTGGGTAACTGAAAAAGAGAAAACACAAGATGGTATCCTGTGTAACTGGGGTTAAGCGTTACTCTCTGAAACTCACGGCATCAGTTTCCTCTTAGGCTCTTCCAACACAGTATAATCGCGTTCATTTCAGTTTAATCCTTGCAGTCCCATCGATTTGTGAGATTATACCCAGGTCATCCACAGTGGAGGTCTGAAAATGTTCTTAGTTGTACTCTAATTTCACTAACTGCCAAAAGCTTTTCCAGAATAATCTCAGTCACTTCATTCCTTTAAAGATGAAGCCCGAAGAAGGCATGGTGATTACTTTAGAGGAACAATTAGCAGCAGAGGCAGGGCTGTGCTGATCCCATCTGGCATGGCTAGTAGCTAACCTATAAAACAGGAGAATAATTTGAAGTAACAGCCAAGGAAGTGACTCAAAACTGAATGCTATGTAACAACTAATTTGGGAGAAAAAGGCAGTCTAAGAGCACTCATTCTCACCACCAGCAGGCATGTGTGCGTTGGGGGAGCATAACGGGGCACTATCACATCATTTTGGTGCAGGCTGGTGGGGATCCAGGATGACTCATTTTAAGGAGACAGTACCTCTGAGGGAGCAGCTGCTGGTAAGAGGCCAGTAAACTCTGGATATAAATATTTCAAGTCAAATCTTATGGTTTACATGAGTTCTGTAGCCAAGTCCACTCAGCAGACAATAACCACTTGATAAGTTGCCCTTTTCACTGTTTTACTTGCAGGCTGTAAGCTACTGGGGCCAGTTTTTAGGCTCATTAAATCTAACCCAGAATACAGCTTCTTTGGTGTCCAGCAAAAACACAACCTTAAATACAAAGAGTTTGCACACACCTCCCATTTCAACAGAAAAGAAAGGCAATCTGTGTGCACTTCAAGCCTGGCATTCAAATGGGAACAAAGCCGGGCACCCCACCCTCCGGCACCACTTGGCTTCTTTGTTGCTCACACACCAGTCCTGACATTCAGATAGGATCTAAGCTACAAACTCAGGAGACCTCCCTGGCGTCCTTAACAAAGCACATAGAAACCAAACAGCCGTGGTTTCCCCTAAATGTCAGGACCCTGGAGCAGAGGCAAGGTCAGAGTCATCAAGCATGCTCACTGCCACAAGCTGGCATACATCCTACATTCCACTCTGTTTCTAAGAGCACATTCATTTTCTTGAAATAAGTAACAAACACTTTCATTCCACAATAAGGGCATAAATCAAATCCTGGCTACTTGTGCATTTCCACCACCTCATACAGCCTGTACCCTCAGAGTCATAATCAAGGGACTAGAGAAAGCAGGGCAACCACACACTTGCTTTTCACGTTTTAGAGGAATGATGCTCTCTAGACTGGGCTCTCAGCAGGATATGCTGAGGGGAAAAAGGTGGGGGGGAAACATGGAGCCAAACCCTTAAGCCTCAGAATAGATATTTCCCTCAGTCCAGATTTTCAGACAGGGATAACTAACCATCATAGGCTTGTGGGACTTCTTAGGGATATGAAAGATGTAAAAACAAAGCTTACAAACAGGAAAGCAATCATTTCACTTGTTTCCGGCAAAGCAGTTCAGTTTTGTCTCTTATTGCGGACACCTAGCAACAAAACGCCACTAAAGTCTCCCTGCCCCTTGGCATCCATTGCTTTAAGTCCAGAGCAGGGGAAGCAACAAAGATTACCACTCCCCCAAACCAAGCCTGTTTACCAGTTCGCCTACTTACATGCATCAAAGACATGGCAATTTGGGTCCGGGTCCAGGTCCCGGTTCAGGGCAGCTGCCACAATGTGGCTACTAGAGGATCCTCTTCCGGCCTCGGAAACTGAGGCTCACTGCACCTGGGAAGAAGAGAAATTAAGAAAAAAAACTACTTAAGAAGATACACGCAGAGTAACTCTCAAGTAGCTTAAAATTTCTGTAAGGCAAACTTGGGAAACTGAGTTTCAGATATTCAAAGTCCACACTGAAAGGCCTTTCTTTGCCTTCAGACAGGGATAACTTGACATCATCATGGACTCAGCTCCCCTCAACCTGCTGGCCCACGGCACTAATAGCCACAGCACATGCAAACTTTTTTTTAATCAAATTGTTCACTTCCCTCACGCAAACTCTTTGCAGAGTGACTTTCAGTCACTGAAAGCATGTGACTTTCAGTTTTGTTTTGTTGTTTTTCTTTTTTTGAGACGGAGTCTGGCTCTGTCGCCCAGGCTGGAGTGCAGTGGCCGGATCTCAGCTCACTGCAAGCTCCGCCTCCCAGGTTCACGCCATTCTCCTGCCTCAGCCTCCCGAGTAGCTGGGACTACAGGCGCCCGCCACCTCGCCCGGCTAGTTTTTTTTATTTTTTTTAGTAGAGACGGGGCTTCACCGTGTTAGCCAGGATGGTCTCGATCTCCTGACCTCGTGATCCACCCGTCTCGGCCTCCCAAAGTGCTGGGATTACAGGCTTGAGCCACCGCGCCCGGCCTGTTTTGTTGTTTTTCTTTAAACAGTTTCACTCTTGTTGCCCAGGCTGGAGTGCAATGACCCGATCTCAGTTCACTGCAACCTCCACCTCCTGGGTTCAAGTGATTCTCCTGCCTCAGCCTCCCAAGTAAGCTGGGATTACAAGCATGCACCACCACGCCAGGCCAATTTTGTATTTTTAGTAGAGATGGGGTTTCTCCATGTTGGTCAGGCTGGTCTTGAACCCCTGACCTCAGGTGATCGACTTGCCTCAGCCTCCCAAAGTGCTGGGATTACAAGTGTCAGCCACCGCACCCTCCAGGCTTTCAGTTTTTTAAGACAGAGGATTAGAGATTTGCCCAAGAGCTACTTAAAAATAGCCAGCACTACAATCTCACTATAATAAAATCCTTGCACTAAAAACAGATCAGATCATCTAATTCAAGCTTGTCTAACCCACAGCCTGCATGTGGTTCAGGACGGCTTTGAATGCAGCCCAACACAAATTTGTAAACTTTCTTACAACATCATGAGATTTTTTTTTTTTAGCCCATCAGCCATCATTAGTGTTAGTATATTTTATGTGTGGCCCAAGACAATTCTTCTTCCAATGTGGCACAGGGAAGCCAAAAGATGACACCCCTGATCTAGTTACTACCCATTTGCTCTTGGACTGGCCACATGATTCCCGGACTCCACCCCAGAGCCATTCTCACCCATGCCTGGAGGTGAGGCCCAGCCTAATGTGTGGTATACAGGAGTTTCTCAACCTCAGCTCTACTGACATACTGGGTGGATCAATTATTCCTCATGCAGGCTGTCGTGTGCATTGTAGGGTATTTATTTATTTATTTACAGAGTTTCGCTCTTGTCACCTAGACTGGAGTACAATGGTGCGATCTCAGCTCACCGCAAATTCTGCCTCCTGGGTTCAAGAGATTCTCCTGCCTTAGTCTCCTGAGTAGCTGGGATTATAGGTGCCCACCACCACACTCAGCTAATTTTTGTATTTTTAGTAGAGACAAGGTTTCACCACGTTTGCCAGGCTGGTCTCGAACTCCTGACCTCAGGTGATCCACCCACCTCGGCCTCCCAAAGTGCTGGAATTACAGGCATGAGATAAATATCTAGGCCCGGCCAGGATATTTATTAATAGCAGCATTCACCGGAGGCCAGGAACACCATCCCTCCCCAGTTGAGAATCACTAGTCTAACTCAGTAACTGCTTGTATAACTTTGGGCAAGAGAACTCTCTAAGCCTCACTTTTACTTACTCAACAGCAGAGTGGGGGAAAAAATTTACCTCACATGGGGTTGATATAAGAAATACTATTTATGGCCAGGCGCGGTGGCTCACGCCTGTAATCCCAGCACTTTGCGAGGCTGAGGCAGGCAGATCACCTGAGGTCGGGAGTTCGAGACCAGCCTGACCAACATGGAGAAATCCCCCAGCTACTTGGGAGGGTGAGGCAGGAGACTAGCTTGAACCCAGGAGGTAGAGGTTACTCTGAGTCAGGATTGCACCATCGCACTCCAGCCTGGGCAACAAGAGCAAAACTCTATCTCAAAACAAACAAACAAACAAAAAATACTCGTTGTGAGAGTGCTTGGCAAGGACCCTAGCAAAAGGAATTCCATACTACTTCCATTATCTGGGCAAACATAACCCTGGAAGACCCACACATCCCCAAAACTAACAAACCAATACTTAAAGGGGACCATAAGCATACTCAAGTCTACGAAAGAATTAAAAATCTCACCATTTAAAGAAACTTCATCATGAAGATCCTTACATTTAACACCTTAAGGTGATGGGTTTTCACATGACTGTTTCCAAGGCCACAGCCAACATCTTTAATCTAAAAGAGAAGGATAACAGGCTTCATTCTAACAGAAACCACCTTAAGGTTTATTCTCCAGATCTGTATTAAACGGCTGAGCCTCAGCGAGTCAGACCTCCTCACAAAAGATACCATTTCAGACAGGGATAACTTTAGATCATCCTCAGCTCAGACAATAACAAAGATGCCTAAATCCCAGCGATCCAAAATTCATTTGCCATCCCTGCACGCCCTAATAAGGATCCACGTTGGTTACAGTGACATCTAGTGGCCCCAAATTACACGGGCACAGACCCTACTCATTTTTATCATTAAAATAATCAGTATTCTGAATTCTGAGCAACTTCTTACCATAGCTGGCTTGTATGTCAACATGTATTCTCACACTTGAACTTCAGAATAAAGCAGGACGTGAATGTATGTGATAGCACCATCTGTGCTTTCTCATTTTTGGTGACCACTCAGGCCTTGCCTGAACCCATTCTTACTCATGTTAGGGCTCCATCCATTACTCTGCTCCTTCAACCTGGAGCTCTGCTTTTCACCGTCTCTGCAGATGCCAAACAAAGAAAGGCCTCTGGGGAAGGAAAAAAGGCTCGTTGTTAAAACTACGGCTTTCCAGAAGTTTACAATCCTATTGATTCCCATCTGTAAAGTTAAATATAAACTACCGATCGGGGCCGTCCTCAAGGCACTCCAAGTGGAATCACGTCTTCACACGTTAACACTCCTGATGCTGAATTAAGAACCGCCATCGTCAGAGTTTGCCCGTGCGCGGGCACCGAAGACCCCCGGGCGTGCACGCTCAGCACACGCGCGGCGGAGGCGCACGGGGCTGCCCAGGTTGTCAGGCCCCCCTCCCCCGCAGAAGCCGGCCCTATGACGCCTAGGATGGCCTTGAGCTCTCTCCCTTCACATAACACTTTCTCGCCGTTTGGAAAGCATTTTCTCATCCAGTACTTCTAACCCTCCTAATCACCCTACCAGAAGAAACGAGCTTATCGTCACCACTTCGTCTCTGAGGAAGGGAGGCCAAGTGTGTTAGTGTCGTGTCAAGGAAGACCCCGTTTTCCCACTCAGGCAGCCTTACCATCATCACTAAAGGCCTGAAGCTGCTCGCCGTGCTCAACACCAACGCCAGTGGCCATGACTTCCAGCCACGCGGCCGGTCTCGAAAAGAACGCGAGACCGCGCCTGCGCACAAGTCTTCTCGGCAAGCTCTCTCCGGAACTCTCGCGGTGTTGAGAAAGGGCTGATGGGAAATGTAGTTCAAAACTGCAGTCACTGGGGGCTGGCCGCGTCCTCAGCGCGACCCTGAAGCTGGGGGTAAGATGGTGGCCGCCACCAGGGGCAGTGGAGGGTCGGAGTGGGAAACCAGGCCTATAAAGAACCACGGCTGTCAGAAAACGAAGCTGGAGGTTCACTTCTGCCAGAAAGTCATTGAGCATCAGCACAGGTTGTCCCTGGTCGAGACTGGGGAAGCACAGAAAGTTCGAGGGGCCAGGGACGGATGAGGAAACCGGGGCTTGGCCAAATATCTTTTTTAATTGCTCTGCGGATTTTATTTGGGGGAGGATAGGGGCATTTGAGTGGTTCACTTGGTTAGTGAAGAGGAGAGATTCCAAGGGAATCGTTCAACCTCCCGCTCAGGTGTTAAGATTGGGGCGAGGCCGGTGAGGCCGAGGCGCGGGCGGCAGGGGGCGCTCGAGAGCGACGGGGTTCCGCCACCGCGGCTCCCCGACGGTCCGGGCCGAATGTGCTTTTCATTCCGAGAAGAGAAAAAAAGGCAAGTGTCACGAGTTGAATTACGAAAAGAACGGAGAATGATGTAACACCCACTGTTCTTCTGAGTGTTATTTTTCAGGCAACCACCTTGGCTTCATTTTTTTTTTTGTTTCTGGGTTTTCTTGGTTTGTTTTTGAGACGAGGTTTCACCCTGGCACGCAGGCTGGAGTGCAGTGGTGCAATCGCCAACTTATTGCAGCCTCAACCTCCTGGCTCAAGTGATCCTCCGCCTCAGCCTCCCAAGTGGCCAGGGCCCTCAAGTGATCCTCCCGCCTCAGCCTCCCAAGTGGCCAGGACGACAGGTCTCGGCCTCCCAAAGTGCTGGGATTACAGGCTTGAGCCACCGCGCCCGGCAAGGGCTTTTTATTTTAATTTTTTTTTTATTATTATTTTTTGAGACGGAGTTTTGCTCTTGTTGCCCAGGCTGGAATGCAATGGCGCAATCTCAGCTGACCACAACCTCCGCCTCCCAAATTCAAGTGATTCTCCTGCTTCAGCCTCCCGAGTAGCTGGGATTACAGGCATGCGCCACCACGCCCAGCTAATCTTGTATTTTTAGTAGAGACAGCGTTTCTCCATTTAGGCTGGTCTCAAACTCCCGACCTCAGGTGATCCACCCGCCTCGGCCTCCCAAAGTGCTGGGATTACAGGTGTGAACCACCACACCCAGCCTCTTTTTTTTTTTTTCTTTTTAATTTCTTAACAGTGCAGGGTTTGGTGTTTACCTGCTATGCTAACAGTAAGTCTTCACAAATAATCATTCATTCAGCAGTAATTCTGGCCATTGGGTTTCTCTACCTTACCCTTGAAGACACATCATTTTGTGTAATACTGAAAGGAAGAATGTGTTCTGTCCCTGCAAACATAGTTCCTTTCCTTTGAGACTTGCAGTGGGAATTCTAAGTGTGAATTTCCCAAAAGCTGCTAGCGGGCTGGTGACTTGCTGTAAACAAAATAGTAATGAGAGCTAATACTTCATAGCACTTACCAGGTGCCACTCCTTACATTGATTTCTGTACACGTATGAACTCGTTTAATCCTCACAATGCGGTGAAGTACTACTGTCAGAGGCGCTGGAAACAGAGAACTCCATCTTGAATAGGAGCTGGGTGAAATGAAGCTGAGACTTACTGGGCTGTATTCCCGGACAGTTAAGGCATTCTAAGTCACAGGATGAGATAGGAGGTTGGCACAAGATACAGGTCATAAAGACCTTGCTGATAAAACAGGTTGCAGTAAAGAAGCCCGCCAAAACCAAAACCACAATGGCAGTAAGAGTGACCTCTGGTGGTCCTCACTGCTACACTCCCACCAGCGCCATGACAGTTTACAAATGCCATGGCAACCTTATGAAGTTACCCTATATGGTCTAAAAATGGGAGGCATAAATAATCCACCCCTTGTTTAGGATATAATCAAGAAATAACCATAAAAATGGGAAACCAGTAGCCCTCAGGGCTGCTCTGTGGAGTAGCCTTTTTGTTAGAGACAGAGTCTCGCTCTGTCACCCAGGCTGCAGTAGTACTGTAACCTTCGCCTCCCAGGTTCAAGCCATTCTCCTGCTTCAGCCTCCCGAGTAGCTGGATTACAGGTGCACGCCACCACGCCTGGCTGATTTTTGTATTTTTGGTAGTGATAGGGTTTCACCATGTTGGCCAGGCTGGTGTTGAACTCCTGACCTCAAGTGATCTGCCTGCCTGAGCCTCCCAAAGTGCTAGGATTACAGGCCTGAGCCACCATGCCCGGCCAAGTAGCCATTCTTTTATTCCTTTACTTTTCTAATAAACTTCCTTTCACTTTATAGACTCACCCCAAATTCTTTCTTGCTCAAGATCCAAGACCCCTCTTTTGGGACCTGGATCAGGACTCCTCTCTGGTAACACTATCACTGTTCCCATTTTACGGATAAGGAAACAGTAGCACTGGGAAATTCGGTAACTTGCCAAAATTCGCATAACCAGTAACGGCAGGGTCAGACTTTGCTCCCAGCCTGTAGAATCCATGCTTTTACCACTAATGAATAAGGTAACCTTATGTATAAGGACTTTTGTTTTGGGGGAGGAAGGGAGAAGGAAGAAGATTTTCATGTGTGTGTAGGGGTGGTTGGGGACAAAATCAGAAATGAGGTTGAAAGGAGGAACAGTGGGCACCTGCTCTGCCATTTGAGCCACTTCATGGCAGGAAGAGTGAGGATGGGAGGCTGCAGAGCTGATGTGTGGAAGATGGAGGCTCCGGGCTCTAGCAGGGCTATATTGGGCCTGGATGCCCCCAGTGTATAGTGAGGGCCATTCTTTATAGCTCCTCGCTCCGCCGCAGGCCACCAGGTCGCTTTCACACCTGACTGGACACTGCTTCCCCAACAGCAGGTTCATGGCAGATAGGGATGCCAGGGCAGCTGGGCAGCGGCCAAGAGGCTGGAGTGAAATACAATGAGAGGCCTTGTGCCTAAGCACATGTAAAGTACACTGTGCAGCCAACCCAGAAATAACTGGGGAGACTTCAGAGAATGCATCAGAATTCCTGAATGAGCCGGCAAGGGCTCAGAGCTGTTGAGACTGAAATGTGGATGTCACTGTGATCTCATTTGCACTCGTTGCTGGTGAGAGCTAGGACATTTGAGTTTTACCTACCGTGGAATTATGACGCAGGCATTATACCAGGCTAATGCAGACCTCTATTTATTGACATGGAAAGAGTCACAGTCTAGTGACCCTTTACAAACAGGAAGGCAGAAGTCCCCAGCGCTTTTCAGGGACCCAGGCTCTGAGTACAAAGGGAGAATTCAGTCAACTAGCCTATTGTGTTGGGGTGGTCACTGATGGGGTTTAAGACATGGTATCTGAAATCCACAGTAATAGAAAACAGTCTTTGGGCTGGTCGCAGTGGCTCACGCCTATAATCCCAACACTTTGGTTGGCCAAGGCAGGAGGATCGCTTTAGCCCAGGAGTGCAAGACCAGCCTGAGCAACATAGGGAGACCTCCATCTCTATAAATAAAAAATGAAAAATGAAAAACAGCCAGATGTGGTGGCACATGCCTGTGGCCCCAGCTGGATGGGAGGCTGAGGTGGGAGGATTGCTGGGGCCCGTGAGATTGAGGCTGTGCAGTGAGCCATGATTGCATCACTGCCCTCCAGCCTGGGTGACAGAGCAAGATCTTGTCTCAAAAAAATAAATACATAAAAATAAAGAAAACAGTCTTTAGAATATTGAGGTTAATTTCTCTACCCAGAAAGCAATCTTTAATTGTATTAATAAGAACACAAAAGAAGGTAGGTAGTATCCCAAGCAGCTGACTGCTTACATTTGGAATGGTGGCAGCAGCGGCATCACAGGAAGCACATCTGTATGTCAGGCACTGTTAGCGGCCAGTCTCTTCCTCCATCTGATGAACCTAGGCTCTGTTCAGCTGCTGGGCAAGGGTCTGCTTCAGCAGGGGCAAGCCCCTCCCTAGCCCCCAGGGGCAAATCTTCATTCATCTGAACCAGACATGGTCAGTCTATTCCCTTCGCTGGAAATTGTTTTGGGAAAGGGTCTGCGATGCAATTCTGGCCAAGTTTGGGAAGGTTTTCCTGCTTTAAAAAACAACAGCCTTTTTTCTGGCTTTGGGACACTGTGAAGAAGTGATGCTGGGCCTGCTGGAGCCATCTTGCACCTGCAAGGCTTCCATTAAGTAGGAGCTGAAGGACTGCAATGGCAGAGTAGAGAGAAGAAAGAACATGAGTCCTCCGTGATGCTGCTGACCTGCAGAAGCCTCCAGTCCTGACACCCCCGAACTTCAGACCTCTTGTTTTGATTCAGAGACACATTTGTACATTTCATATATATACACACACACACACACACACATATATACACACACACATATACATATATGTTTTTTTTTTTTCTTTTCTTGAGACAGAGCTTTGCTCTTGTCACCCAGGCTGGAATGCAGTGGCATGATCTCGGCTCACTGCAGCCTCCCTCCACCTCCTGGGTTCTTGTGATTCTCCTACCTCAGCCTCCCAAGTAGCTGGAATTACAGGTGTGCACCACCACGCCCAGCTAATTTTCGTAGTTTTTTTTTTTTTTTTTTTTTTTTTTTTTTTTTTTGAGAGGGGGTGTTCCGCTCTGTCGCCCGGGCTGGAGTGCAGTGGCCAGATCTCAGCTCACTGCAAGCTCCGCCTCCCGGGTTTATGCCATTCTCCTGCCTCAGCCTCCCGAGTAGCTGGGACTACAGGCGCCCACCACCTCGCCCGGCTAGTTTTTTTTGTATTTTTTAGTAGAGACGGGGTTTCACCGTGTTAGCCAGGATGGTCTCGATCTCTTGACCTCGTGTTAGAGACAGCATTTCACCATCCTGGCCAGGCTAGTCTTGAACTCCTGACCTCAGGTAATTCGCCCACCGCAGCCTCCCAAAGTGCTGGGATCACAAACATGAGCCACCACAGCCGGTTGCATTTTCACGTTCTTAAATGCAGGATGTGTCTTGCAAGCAATGGCATCTCAGTTTGAGTGAACTACAAAATGTGAGATTTTAGGCCGGGCACAGTGGCTCACGCCTGTAATCCCAGCACTTTGGGAGGCCAAGGCAGGCGGATCATGAGGTCAGGAGATCGAGACCATCCTAACTAACACGGTGAAACCCCGTCTCTACTAAAAATGCAAAAAAAAAGAAAATTGGCTGGGTGTGGTGGCGGGCGCCTGTAGTCCCAGCTACCCCGCAGGCTGAGGCAGGAGAATGGCGTGAACCCAGGAGGCGGAGCTTGCAATGAGCAGAGATCGCACCACTGCACTCCAGCCTGGGTGACAGAGCGAGACTGCATCTCAAAAAAAAAATGAGATTTAAAAAAGAAATCTTATTAAGTCATTTTAAGTTGGGTGTTCTATTTCAGTCAAATCATCCTAAATGATATCTTTTAAAAATAATTCTTCCCAGAAGAATGGATCATGGCAGAATACAGAAAATGAGCTGATGTGTGCAAGCGTCCTTTCTAAAGTAATAACCACTATGTGTATATGAAATGTTTACTCTGTGGCAGGTACTCTGGAAGGACCTTTTATTCACTGTCTCATCTGATTCTCATGACAGCCCTGTCATTATCACCATCCCCCCCCCCCAACCCGCCCCGCGCCTTCCCATTTCGCAGCTGAGGAAGTCAAGGTGCAGAAAAGTTAAAGGAATTCATAAGTGAAGCACTGAGATCTGAACTCAAACAATCCAGCTAAAAACCCATGGTCTCAGCCACCATGCTGTGTTGCCTTAAAAAATTACACTATGACAGTGGAACGTTTTTGCTTAACTCCAGAGACTTTAATTCACCCACCTAGAAAACCTGTCATGAAAACATAGAGGATTTTTTTCCTGAGAGTTCTTAGGACCATGAAACAGTGTTGTAAATCCTGTTCAGAAATCTGGGACCATGCAGATGACCAGGCAGATGGAAGAAAAGTAAAAATATAAAAATAAAAAACAAAACCTGGGATCAAGCTTTAAAGTTTCACCTAGCTTTAACTTTCTAGAGGAGGAGAAATACGACACAGACCCTATGCATTGAGAATAGATGGCGTTGGAGTTGTGGATTGTCTGTGCTTGCCAAACAGCATCCAGGAAGAAAAGCAATGCATTTGACTTCCCTGCTTGGCAGAGCCACTGCCTCTAGAGTATTACTCAAAAATTGATTTTTTTTAAATAAAAATAAATGAATTTGTAGACGATATAATGTTCCATGGATCTCTTCTGTTATTTCCTGGGCTTGTCTCTCCATGCCCAGAAACCTTGCCTTCTCACAGCTGTTGCATAACCTTTGCTTGTGGTGGTGTTTGTTCCTGTTGCCTTGAAAGTCCCTTCGCTGCATTCTCTTCTCTGCTCAGCAAATTCCAGCTTCTACTTAAATACCTCCTCTGCGGAGTTTTGACTGAGATGCTGCAACAATTCCCGAGCTGTTTCCTCGTAGCACCTTCCTGGTGGCAGGTGGATTAGCACATTGTCTGCAACCCAGGACGACCTGGAGGAAAGTCCCAGCTCTCCTGATTCTAACTGAGTAACCTTGGCAAAAGTCACCTCACTTCTCTCTGAGTCTTATTTTCTCATCTGTAAAATGAGGAGGAGGAGGAGCATCATCCAAATATCACGGGACTTCGTTAGGTCAGTGCTTCGGAGCACTTAGCACAGCGCCTGGCACAAGGTAAGCACTTGATAAATGGGAGTTCGTGTTATTTCAGCATACTTTGAACACTCATCCCACTGTTTTATGATGATTTGTTTGCATGTCTGGCTTTTCTGCTAGATGATGAGTAAAACAAGCATCAATCTTCATTCTTGTTTTGTTTCTAACTCTCTAAATCATCTTTATTCGGGTGTAACTTACATACAATACAGTATAACCATTCACAATGTATGGTTCAGTAGTCCAATAAGTGTATAGACCCATGTAACCACAATTCCAGTTAAGATTTAGAACATTTTTGTCACCTCAAAAGCACCTTCTTAGGTGGGGTGCAGCACTTCGGGAGGCCGAGGCCGGTGGATCACCTGAGGTCAGGAGTCTGAGACCAGCCTGGCCAACGTGGTGAAACCCCGTCTCTACTAAAAATACAAAAAATTAGCCAGGCATGGTGGTGGGCACCTGTAATCCCAGCTACTTAGGAGGCTGAGGCAGGAGAATTGCTTGAACCCAGGAGGTGAGGTTGCAGTGAGCCAAGATTGCACCATTGCACTCCAGCTTAGGTGACAAGAGCAAAACTCCGTCTCAAAAACAACAACAACAACAAAAAAGAAACCTTCTAGGCCGGGCACGGCGGTTCATGCCTGTAATCCTAGCACTTTGGGAGGCCGAGGCAGGCAGATCACTTGAGGTCAGGAGTTCAAGACCAGCCTGGCCAATATGATGAAACCCTGTCTCAACTAAAAATACAAAAATTAGCTGGGCGTGGTGGTGCATGCCAATAATCCCTGCTACTGAGGAGGCGAAGGTTGTAGTGAGTTGAGATTGCACCACTGCACTCCAGCCTGGTCGACAAAGTGAGACTCTGTCCCAAAAACAAAACAAAACTTCTTACCCTTGCAGTCAACCCCCACGATATCTAACCCCAGCCCCAGTCAACCACTGATGCCTTCTGTCACTAACAGTCGGGTTCTGCCTGTCCTAGAATTCCATGCACATGTCATCATCACACAGTAGCTGCTCTTTTGTGTCTGGCTTCTCTCAGTTTACCCATGTCGTTGGCATCAGCAGTTCATTTCCTTTTCATTGCTAAGGATTATTCTATCTTAATATATCTCAGTGTGTTTATTCCCATGTTGAGGAATATTTGCATTGTTTCCAGTTTGCAGCTATTACTAATAAAGCTGCCATGAACATCTTTGCAGTCTTTTTTGTGGATGTAAGTTTTCATTCCTCTGGGATAACTTTATAAGAAACCGCCATGCTGGTTTCCCAAGTGGTTGTAACACTTCACCAGTCCCCAGCCGTGTATGACAGGGTCACATCTTGGACAGTACTTACTATGGTCAGCCTTCAGCTTTAACCATTCTGTTGGGCAGGTAGTGGTATGTCATTGGGCTTTTGATTTGCATGTGGAACATCTTTCTTTCCCAAAGCGCTGGTATTACAGGCGTGAGCCACCGCCCCCAGCTGCATGTTGAACATCTTTCTATGTATTTTAGCTGTATGTATATTTTTTGTTGTAGTGTCTATTAAAACCTTTGCCCATTTTTTATTGGGCTGTCTTATTATCGAATTGTAAAAGTGCTTTATGTATTGCGGATACTAGTCCTTTCTCAGATTTTTGTTTGGCAAATATTTATTCCCGGTGTTTCCAAGAGCAGAGGTTTAATTTTGATAAAGTCTGGTGTATTAATTTTCTTTTCTGGTTAGTGCTTTTTGTATCCTGTTGAAAGGACCTTTCTTTCTCCATTGGATTACCTTTGCTGCATCTGTTTTTGGATTCCATTGATCTATGTGTATATCCTTACGAATCTCACACTGTCTTGACCTCTGATTCTGTCTCCTCCTCACCTTAGCAAAGCCACTGTGGTCCACTTGGGTTTCCCCTCCCCAGGGCACAGTCAGGGAACTGTCTCTGGGCAGAAGCTGAGGCAGTCATGGGGTCACTGTCCTGTGTGCTGCCTGTTGTCAAGTGTCTGTTTCTTATATCTCGCCCAGTTTTCTGGTTGGTTGTGGCAGGTCTTAATCCGTTTCTGGATCCACAGTCCCTGGCACACAGCACCTCCAGACACAGTTCATTATAGTCGCTTTCAATTGGGAAAGTCAGTGGGGCTCCCAGAGAGCTTCTGGTCCATCCCCTTCATTTTACTGAACAGCTCTTTTCCTGAGGAGATCATTAGTCCTTTACGTCTTCACTCCAGCCCACCTGGGCTTGACAAATATTTATCAAATGAGGAAACCGAGGTCCGGAGAACAAAAGGTCACAGGGATAGACAGGGTTGGGCTGGCAGAACTAGGCCACCTAGGCTGGGGCCTTCCTATAGGACCAGCTGGCAGGACAGGGTCTGTCTCTCCTTGAGTGTCACTCCTGACACGTGACACAGGGTTTGCACATTGCAGGTTCCCAGGACACACTTGTTAAATAAATGACCAAATTAACACATTCATTTCTTTCAATGCTGAGTTCAAATGGCTTCTGCCTCTGCATATGATATTGTGTGTGTATATGTTTGTGTATGTGTATGTTTCTGTGTGT